ATAGAGCACCAAAACTTGGAAACACAACGATACCTTAGAAGAAATTTTGTAGGTAATCTTGCGAGTATTTCGATGAATAACTCTAGAAGTAATGTGGTTAATGGACTTTTCAATTTCCTCCTTTTTGCCATTTCTACTTGTTTTTGAGATACAAGGCAATAAAAATGAGGAAGAAATTAAAGGATATAGAGGTGAAGGTATAGAATGTGACCAATATATGTTACAATTTATAAGATAACTGGAATTCAAGATCGTGTTTCTTGTGACCATATAAATGAAAATAAACCGTATTAATGTGAAAACGGTACAAAATCTCTAATTGAAACAACATAATCACATGATAAGTGAACTCACCATTGCATGTCATCTAATTGGTGAACAGATAGTTGTTTATAGGAATATAATATATATTTTTTAAATAGAATGTTTTTATGGGAAAAACGAATAATTTGGAAAGGTGGGGATGGAAGGGTGAGAATTGAATATACTCGTGGAAGTAATTAAGTCGGGGAATGAGGAAAATGAAACAAACAACATTACCTTTCAAAAAGGAAAAAAAAATACAACTAAACAACATTAATAAATGAATTGAATTAAGGCTATATTTTTTTTATTAAAAAAAGGAAATTAATCACAATAGATTAAAAGAGGTGGCATGTAGCATGAGGTGTTTGTGTTTTTATAAACTAGATAAGCCTCGTGCGATGCACGACATAAAAAAATTTATTGAATTTAAATATAAATTTATATATGTCTCTCATATGAAATAAATTATAAAAATATAATTATTAATTGCCATTTGTAATGATATTTAGATCATATTAATTTTGAAGAACAGTAAAAAACTTAAGCAAATTATGTATTATGTGTACTATTTAACCGAGAGTAATTATATTTTGAAGTCAGATAATAATAATAATAATAATAATAATAATAATAATAATAATAATAATAATAATAATAATAATAATAATAATAATAATAATAATTGTCTTCACAAAAAATATTGTAATAATTTAAGGTTAAAAAAATATGATGTCAGCAATTGATTTAGGCGGGGAAAATTTTAACAACAGCTTGACATGTGTATAATTTTAATAAGTGATGATGTCAGCGGTTGTTATTTTAGTATATTTATAGATAGATAAGTGTAATACTTAAATTAGTGTAATACTCCATTCATTTAGATCTATGTGACCTAATTTTAAAATTGAAATTAAAGTATGAGTTGAGCATTAAAGTTTATAATTTATTAGCAAGATTTAAAAAAAATATCGATGTCATTTTTTCATTGAGGTGGTGAGTGATCTAATAAATTCTTTGTAAACTTTAGGTCATGTGTGGGTAATAGTAATATTAGTTCAATGAATATATCAATAATGAAATAGTATTAGTTGATTCACAATTTTTAAAAGGATCTTGTCAATGAGCGTGTTAGTTGAGACGAACACTATAAGAGGGGGGTGAATTGTAGTGAGTTCCTAATGCCTACTTTTTGCAGAATATAAAACTGAAATGTAAAAGGAACTTGCACGGCACACAATATTTAACAAGGAAACCTCTTAGGACCCAAATAGAAGTAAAACCTCGACCCTTTTGGGGGATTTCAAACACCAAAACACTTCATTATAATAGTGAAAACTCTCATGTTACAACCTATAATAATCAGACCTAAACTCACAAGTTCCAGAATGAACTTGCCACAAAGTAGAACCCTATTCTACCCAACCTAAGTTTCTGACTTAGATTCTCTACGTACTCCCTGAGTACTTGCTCACTCAGCTTCACTATAGAAGCCTACAATACTGTTTGCAATAAACAGTTCGCTCACCCAAACCAAAACTATACAAACTCTTGACTTCTAATATGTGATAGGAAAGCTACATATGGAATCCGAAACTAATATGACAAAGTTAAACTTGGCAAACTTATACAACCGAGCTCTCTTCAAATTATTCACGCATAAATTCACAAGTCTGTTAATTATGAATTCTACCTTATATACAAGATGAACTTGTATAACAAGTAGGGTTTTCAAAAGATAGAACTTATCAAAACTGACGATTTCATAAAACACGTTTTTATGTAAATCTTTTGTAAAGAAAATATTTTTGAAATACTTATCAAAGATAGATTTATGAAAAGAATAATATCTTTTTAAAACCTGGTAATTTTCTGCCTCGATGAATATCTTCATCCTGTTCTTCTAGTAGGTGTAAAACTTGCCTTAGCCGCTTTGAACATAGGTGAACATTGGGTAGAGTACCCTTCTTCAAGCTTTTCTCTGTAGTTCATCTCTCCGCAGGAACTTACTCAACAACGTTATTTGCTTACAGGTGAGAACCTTGCTCTAATATCAATTGTTAGTCAAGACAAATACTACAAGAGGGGGGGTAAATTGTAGTGAGTTCCTAATGCCTACTTTTTGCGGAATATAAAACTGAAATGTAAAAGAAACTTGCACATCACATAATATTTTACGAGGAAACCTTCCCGGGCCCAGCTAGAAGTAAAACCTCGACCCTTCTGAGGGATTTTAAACACCAAAACACTTCACTATAATTGGACAAACTCTCCTGTTACAGCCTATTATAATCATACCTAAACTCACAAGTTCCAGAATGAACTTGCTACAAAGTAGAACCCTATTATACCAAACCTAAGTCCCTGACTTAAATTCTCTATGTATTCCATGATTACTTGCTCACTCAGCTTTACTATAGAAGCCTACAATACCGTATGTAATAAACAGTTCACTCACATGAACCAAAACAATACAAACTCTTGATTTCTAATATGTGATAGCTAGGAAAGCTACACATGGAATCCGAGACTAATATGACAAAGTTAAACTTGGCAAACTTACACAATTAATCTCTCTTCATATTCTTCACGCATAAACTCACAAGTGTGTTAATTATGAATTCTACCTTATATACAAGATGAACTTGTATAAGAAGTAGGGTTTTCAAAAGATAGAACTTATCAAAACTTCCGATTTCATAAAACACGTTTTTATGTAAATCTTTAGTAAAGAAAATCTTTTTGGAAAACTTATCAAAGATAGATTTATGAAAAGAATAATATCTATTCAAAATCGGATTTCATAAAATAAAATCTTTAGAAAATATTTTCATAACTTGAAACTTTATCTTTTATAAACTTTCCTTTTATAAGCTTGCTAAGCTTTGCCACGCTTCTAATAAATTTCATGCATAAACTAACCTAACATATTTACAACAATCCTTAAAAAATATTACTTAAGATAACTTAGATTATTTCGTCAAAAGCTGTAGGTTAGGATACTTGGGCTTCACACAGTCCGGGATTAAGTTCCTGATGTCTTCACTTCTCCAGTACCATATTGAAATTTCGCACGCCAAGTTCTTGTAGAACTTGATGTTTTCAACGCATGCAGGCCAAGTTATTATTCTCAACTTGTTGTCTTCATGTTGCTGTAAGGGAACTCAATTAGTTTGACTTAAGAACTCCTCTTCTATTTCTCTAACTTTCTTTGAAGTCTTCTTGAGTCTTCACAACAGGTTATTCTTCCACTTCCAAAGTCTACTTAACCTGTTCTAACACTTAGAGAAATCTTATTAGTTGAAGTTTGCTCTTTGTGTTCATCATCATTAAAATTTTAAGCTTCAACAGAGCGCTATGGGGCATAAGATAAGGAATAATTATATCGGTTGAAATATTATTAAGTTAGGAATGTATGACAAAATCACGCGTCGTTCGGTGTAATTTATGTTAGTTTTACTTTAATATTTTAACTTTTAATTCTCTTATCTAACGCCCCGAGGACACTCATAAGGTTTTGCCTTTTTAAAAGATATTACTTAGTTTCCTCCATAAATTTAAGATGCTTCTTTCTAAATAAGAAGGTTTCAAGTTAGATGCATGACTTTTCTATTTAGTTAATAAATTCTCTTTATCTCTCTTGTATCTCGAGGATTGTTCTATTTTTTTTTTCTCTCTCATCTTCAAAAACTATCTAGAAGTACTTTTGCAAATGATGTGCCTAAACAAACTAGAGAAAGTAATTGATGTATGTGTAAATTGACATGACGTCATATCATCTATCCAATGTTGATGGTCTATCCTTTGCTTAATATGTTTGTATTGTCAAGTCACATGTACTGCATTTGTGATCACATCCATTAGGATTCTAACAAATATATCATGTATTAATAGTATTAATTACTATAGAAACTCAATTTGCTTCAACATATTTCATCAATGTTGAATTAACCCAAAAATGTACTTCATCTGTTCTTATTAGATGCATCACTTTCTATATATGAAAGTTTCGTTTAGATGCATTTTTAGTTCTATTAGTCAATATATTCTCTCTCACATCACATATGAGCTCCATTTATTTTTCTCTTTATCTCTTTCTACCCTAAATATTGCGTGGAACAAGGAATTTCAAAAGTATTGCATCTAATAAAAAATGGTGGAAGTATTAAACTACTAATGAATGAAATATCCTTAGCTTCAAGGGATTTCATCAATGTTGAATTAATCTAAATCAAAAATGCTTTAAGTATCAATATACCACAATCCAAAAATTAAAGTAACATGTATTACTTCCTTCATTTCTTTTTTAGTTGACACATTTCTTTAGTCATGTGTGTCAATAGTGCTAAAATTCAACCATTAATATCTTTAATTACTGATAATTAAAAATTATGAAAAGTTGATATTTAATTAGTATATTTATATCGTGATGAATCTAACAAGATCGCACATGTCTATATTTTTTTTACATAACAAAACACAGCCGAAGGGGAGTGTGTGAATAGTGCTCAAGTCAAAACATGTCAACTAAAAGAAAAAAACAGAGGTAGTATATATATATTTCGTATATATTAGTATTTCAATGAAATTTCAAAATCTAATCTACTAATTTTTGAAGAAAATTTGCTGATGGAGTAAAATAAAACGCCCCTTTTTTCTTTTTCTCTCTTCTCTCTCCTCTCTCTTCTAGGCCGGGTTTTATTTTTCTTGGTCGTTTAATTCAATTTAGTTTTTTGTTTTGATTTACATTTTGTTTTGTTTTGTTCTCTCCATCTGTGAGAATCTGTCCCAATTTTTTGGGTTTCCCCAATTTTCTGGGTTTTTGATTCTTATATATGGATGGGAATTTTATTTTTAGGGTTCATATAATAATTGAGAAGGTGATTTGGATTCCTATGGGTATGGGATTTGTCATCAACTGGTCGATCATCAGCGCAGATTGCGGAGGTCTCAACTTGGAAAGATGCAAAGACATCAAAAATCATTGCTCGAGTCAAGTTTGAAGCGGTGGAGTATGAGCTATGTCAAATATGCAAATTAGTTATGATTTTGATTGTAAAAGTTATGATATTTTCTCTATATCTATGGTTTACAAATTTTTATTATTATAGCCGTATGGCTATTATTTAATGATATTATTACTTCCCATTCAAAAAAAAAATAGAAAATTTGCTCAATCCAATTTAATTTTGAAAACAATGTGATCTGAATAAGTATCTTGGAAAATGGTGGACACTCCTGGCCCTGATATTATATTACTACGTACGCTACGAAATGGTTGAACAAAAGAGTAAATTTGAAGATTGTCCTTGCTAGCTAATTTAATCCAAAAAAAAGTCCCATCTGCCCATGACCACAACTTGGATGGCCTCACATGGGACAAACACCCTCTCTTCTAAGGGCATTTATAAACCTCACTACCCCCCTTCTTTTTCTCTACACAAAACAAACTAACTTCACTTTGCTAGCTATTAGCCAGCGATACAACAAGCCAAGCTTAGCTAGCTTATACCACCCTTAGCTTTTCTCTTCATCTCTCCCTCCCTCCCCATCAAACAACCACGACGATGCGTTTAATGAGGAAAGGTGTTAGTACACCAGCAATGTCACGTGTCACGACGAGGAGGTGGCGATGTAAGAAAGGGCAGCCACGACGATCCCGTGAAGCGGTTTTGAGGAAGGTTAGGAAGTTGCAAAGAGTTATACCCGGTGGCCAAAGGGTGCAGCAGATAGACCACCTTTTTCTTCGAACAGCTGACTACATTTTGCACTTAAGGTTGCAAATTAACCTCTTACAAACTCTTTTTAAACTCTACTCATCCTATATTTAATTTAATTTACTGATTTATTGTACCATATATACATATTATTATATCATACGAAGTATGATATTAGCATTTTAGCAATAATTTATTACTCTTTTCAACTCAAAAAAATGAAGGGAAAAAAAATAGATCAAGCTTTTTTAGGGTGAATAAATTTAATTTTTTTGTAGCTTATGGAATGCATTACATTGAAGTTGTAATATCGTTGTTATTATATTATAGCTTCAATGTATTAGATTTCATAATATAGTGTCATTAATAATTAATTAGTTTATTGTTTATATAGTTATTAGCTTGGTATATGTAATAATGAAGTCATTTACTAGTATTCATTTGATTTTTTCATTAATGGCTGAAAGTTTCTTGCTACTTTTCTTTTAGCATAATATATTATGTGTCTGAAATTTCATGTTTCTTCTACTCTGATTAGGAAATTAATAAAATTAAATTAAGGTGAGGAATTTGAAACTTCTTATTCTTATACGACGTATATGTAGATCTTGTCTTATTATCATTGGCATTATCTCATGCCAAGCAATATATTTATATGTGGATTGATTTGATGATTTCTATCTGTCCATATTTAATTTTTTGAGTGTTGTATTAGTGTAGCCCAAATTTTATAAGCCCAATTAATTAGGTAGAAAACTGTACTATATTGAGAAACTGATGAAGAATTGTGGACGAATCTAGAATTGGTGAATAATCATGAAAATTCTATATTTATGTGGCAATTTAAAGAGCATGTGTGTAGAATTTTCCACACGCTTCTTCCACCTCCATACATCGCCTATAAATATAAGGTGTTGGGCATCATTTGGAAGTATGTATCCACCAACATCATGCTCCAACTCAGATCCCTCATACAATCTATGAGTGTCCCTCCATACATATCACAATCGGAGTTTCTACATACAATAGTGAAAGTTTTCATGTACTACTTACCCTTTCAAGGGTTATTGTATTCTCTTATTTTTTATACAGTGAATTATTTCGGTGCTCATTGTCATGGTTTTTTTTTTTTTATAATTTTCCCACGTTAAATATTGTGTGCCCAATTCTGCACTCTTATCTTATCCCTATTTATCTCCTAATTATTTTATCAATTTCTACGTATTTAATTTGCACTCTTTAAATTTCATGACCTCTTTTTGGTGTCATCCCAAATTACTTGACAAATTTGTTCCCTTCATTTTGTTTTCAAAAAATTATAATTGAAAAAAAAATGTTTCCTATTCTAGCCAGACAAAATTTTAAAAATCTAATAATTTTTTTTACGGCAATTTTTTTTTCTATTTTTTTTTTACAACAAAAAAAAAATCAACAAAAAAATTATAATCTTACCTTTATGGTTAATTGATAGAAGTAATATTTTTAGCTATGAAAAAATAATCTTTCAAAAAAAAACTGAAAAATTAGGTTATCATGTTTTTTTACATAGATTATATAGAATTTTTTAAATGTGGTAATTTCTTTTTGTATATTTCGGTCTATTTTCAAAAAGCAATCATATAACAACTTTAGCTTGAAAATGTAATGTTGGGCAAGACGAATTCATATTCTCATGTAGCTTTTTTTTAACAATCGAATCAAATAAAAAATTATTTCATCATAGCTACATACTATCGTTGACGCAAATCATACATTCTTCATACCCTCTTTTATATTGTTGTGATTTACAGCTTTTTTCTACGAGGGGTCTATCGATCTATTGAAGCCAGGAAGAAAATTTTCGTCTAATTGATCTATTGTAATTGAAGGGTTAATCTCTTTTTTGATTCCGCACAAATCTATATCCATGAAACAACTTGTGTCATAATAAACTCAAAAAACAAAAACAAAACTTAAAAACAAAGTCCACCATAAGGATACTTGGTGTCTGTTCACATTTATTGAACTGAACTGATTGGAGCTGAGTTGAACTAAACTGATCTGAACTGAACTGATTGAAGCTGAATTGAATTGAACTGAACTGAATTGAGCTGAAATGAATATTTTATAAGAGAGGGAAATTAAGAGCTGAACTGAACTAAAATGAACTAATTGGAGCTGAACTAAACTAAACTAAACTGAAATTAAGTTAATGTGAAGAGGCCCTTACTACACTCAAACCCACTATAGGAGTTACTTATAATATAGTTTTATTAAATTCAATAACAAAAGCATAAAGAAACTAAAAGAAAAGTCAAATTTGGCTTTTTTTTTCCTATAAAACACTCCTTTATTTTTTTTTTTAATTTTTTTTTTTGAAGAACTTGAAATACTCCATTTATTTTTTACATAAGCGTCAGTGTTAAAATACTCAAATTAACTTGAAATGATTTTTATATTGAAATTGAATAGATTGGAAAACCACCATACAAATTATAAATTTAATTATGCATGGTGCATGTTATTTGAGAAATGAAATTTTATCTGGAAAAAATTTCAAATCCTAAAGAGTTTAGCTTGATAGAATGATCAATTGATCAACATGGAAATCAATGTTAATACATATGCATCAGTTTGACCGGCACATTTGCCGAGACGTTACTTTGACCATTAATATCTTTAATTGTACATTAGTAAAAATTGTAACAAAATTATATTATGAAACTAGACATTATGGCAAATCTAATGATATATTATATAATAACATTTATTTATTTTTTAGAGGTGAAAAAATTAAGTCAACCATGATATGTGAATAGTGCAATTGTCAAAGTAATGCATACAAAAAAAACGGAGGGAGTACTACAAATGCCTATAATATAATAATTTATTATTGCTTGGATATATAAGCATAAATAAAAATACTAATAAATCATATCTAAACAAATAATGAGAGTTTGACAAAGTTTCATATACGGCTGGTCGTACGGTGCGGCCAGCCATATTTTTTTTTAATTTTTCTTCTCTCTCCTCTTTCTCTCTCCTCTTTTCTTCTTTCATCTTCTACAACATTTTTCTTTTTCCCCCAATTTTATTTCTCTCTCCTCTGTTCTTCTTCCATCTTCTACAACATTTTTCTTTTTCCCGCAATTTTATTTCTCTCTCCTCTGTTCTTCTTCCATCTTCTACAACATTTTCCTTTTTCCCCCAATTTTATTTGCTTATTTGCTGCAGATTTTGATTATATAACTTGTAAGTTGTTAAATTTTATTACTTAATTTTTTGTTTAATTGAAGAACGAAAAACAAATTGTTTTCGTGTATAGTGGTGGTTTCGTGGGTGGGTAGTGGTTGTTTCGTGGATGGGTGGTAGTGGTTTCGTGGTTTTCGGGTTCTAGATCTGGTTTCGTTGGTGGTTTAGGTTGGTAGTGGTTCGTTGGTGGTGGTTGTTGGTGGTATTTTTTTGTTGGTGGTGGGTAAGGAGTTACTAGATCCAGTCATGGGTTACTAAGTCCAGTCAGGGGTTACTTGGGGTTACTAGGTCAGTTAAGAGTTACTAGGAGTTACTAGGTCGGGGGTTAATTGGGGTTACTAGGTCAGTTAGGGGTTACTAGGTCAGGGGTTACTAGGTTGGTCAGGGGTTACTTGGTCAAGGGTCACTAAATCAGTCAGGGGTTACTTTTGTCTTAGGATTACTTTATCTGGGGATTACTTTGTCATTTGCTGATTTGGTACCGACCACACCAGAAACGCACTGTGAGAGTTTTGGTCTCTTGACAAATTTATTATTTTGTCTTCCTTGAAGAAAGAAAGACATGTTAGACTAAGTAATTTTTATGGTAATTTCAATTTCTTTGCTAGACTATACTCTCGTTTGAGGGCACCATTAATACGTTCCTTTGTTCTTGAAAAAACTTGTAGAGAAAGACGTATGGTGGTCCATTACAAAATTAAATTTATGGTATGTGGTATGTTTATAATTTTTTTTTTTTTTTGAAATAATAGTATGTTTATAAATTATAAGCCGTATTTAATTTGTCATGTACTAATCACACATCTGTAATTAATGGATATGTTGAGTCATATAATATTATTATTATCAATTGGATGTTGGTGTAGTGGTGATTGGGCTTGGTAGGGAGGACCCGTGTTCGATCCCCCGCAACAACAATTGGGAGGGGACTGGAACCTAACCACCCAGAACTGATCCCCAAATCCAGATTAGCCCAAAGGGTGAACCGGGTAGAACACCAAAAAAAAATATAATATTATTATTTATTGCAAACATTTAAGGACCAATAAGACAATTACACCTTATCTATTACGTGTATACAAATTTTAGAGTACCTCGCTCAATGATTTTATTAGCTAGAAATCTGACTAATTTGAATTCAAAATGGGAATTATAATGTAGGAAAGCTATCACAACAAATTTTGCTTTGTTCCCATAGCTTTGGTTAATCTCCAAAATTAAAACGATTTATTTTTGTATTATTTTTATTAACAATATTTTAAACTTTAAAAACCAATCATCTATAAAATTGCAAAATGTACCATAATTAGCACAAAAAGACTTGCGTGGACCTGGTCCACAATAATATTATTGTGGACCCGAGGTCTATACACATGCAACTGACATTATATTGAACATAGTGACCATTATTTTTAATATAGTAACCTTATTTTTAACATAGTAACCTTTATTAAAACTACTACAACGTTTAATAATATTGTGAACTTGAAATACGACGCTATTATCCTAATTTTAACATAGTGGTCTTTATTATTCATATTGATCAGTATATAAAATATTTCATTACAAAAATAACCACTAAGGCCTATATATTACCAAAATGATTTTTATTTCAACATAGTGACCTTTTTTTTTTTAATTATAGTGACCCTTTTTTTATTAATAAAACAACCATATTTTCTCTAATGTTAGTGGTCCACAATAAATTAGTGTGAACCAGGTCCATTTAAGAATTTGTATAATTAGCATATATATATTCCTACTCTTTTTTTGGTTGGACTCTCATAGACTCATAGTCTCATATCATTACATAATCCTCACTGGACAATATAAAGAAGGAAAATTTATTATTATTAATCCCAATTTTGGGTCATTTACTTTCATTAATCCCAACTTTTTCATTATTATTGAATAATCCCAACTTTGGGGGACGTTTACTTCTATCAGGTTATGACCAGTCAATAAAAGTCAATGACCCATTGTTTAAGGTAACTTGACACGTGTCAAGCCTTGATTGGTCCAAAAAAATAAAAATAAAAAATTACAAAAATTGAAAAAATTATAAAAATTAAAAAAAAAAAAAAACAAAACAAAACAAAAACTTCATCCTCTCCTCTCCGTTCACCAGGCCACCCTAACCCACCACCATCACTGCCCAGTCTCATCCGCTCCCTAGTTGGCCCACTGTACCACC